GTACAAAGAAGCATTTTCTCATAATAATTCTGCTTATATGAATGAGTTTGGTGACTTTTAGTGATACATAAGAACCATACATTCTTGACATTCATAATTTCTCATATTCTTGTGTATTTACCATCAATACAATCAGTAAAATTATTCTTTCACTCATACTGGAAAATATATGTCTTTATTAGATTTTTGTTGGACTTAGGAAAATAATTTCATAATATTTCCACCATTTTCCTCATTGTTTATAATTATACCTGTATGACATGCTGCATATATTCTATGATAAAATAGCCATACTTATAAAACATGACAAAAAGAGTATAAACAGGTAAGTCTACAAAATAATAACAATTACCAGCTATTTCTAAAATATTATACAAACAAGTTAAAAGTAAGTAAAATCAATCTTTCTTTTAATACATCTATTACAAAATTACTTGAAATCTCTAGAAATATAGCCAGTGTCATTAATGAACTCCTAACTATTCAAATAAGAAATTTTTAAAAAATTAGATCAACCCCAGATCTGTATAGATCAGACATTTAAAACCTTCACCAACTTTGATGCTGACTTGCTAAGCAAAAAACTATCTATCTACTAATGTGGATTCACAGTGAGACCAACAAAAATATATTTCTGATCAAATAAACAGTAGTATGAGTTTCCAGGTAAATGCCAGGAAAATCAAAAGATTAATATCAATAAGATTCTTTTGGAACAAAAGAAGAAATCAAATATTTTTCTATAAAATTTAAGCAAAAGGAATAATAAATTTTAATGATACTGTAGACAGGAGAAAATTCTCTCTATAATATTTCAGGAGGACTTTTCCATGGTAAGAACGCTCATAATAAAGTATCAAATGAATATATAAAATTCTGTGGGATGCATAATATTTGTTCTCTTTGTCATGTAAAATGGAAAAAATAATATTTGACAAAGTAAAATCACACCCTGCAAAAAGATACATTTTACTACCACATATCACCACTGAAGTACATGAAGAAAATATATTAAAGTTAATTACTCTGTCATATACACTAACAGCAATTTTCTATACGAATTAATGCAACCACTGGTGGTAATGATTTATGTAAATTTGGATGCAGTTTTAACATTTCTTAGCTCACCAATAACCTGAGAAACAGAACCTAAACAGAGCACACATTCAAAATAGCAAGATTTAAAAACACAAAATATGTTAGTAGCCTAAGTAGCACTAAATGTTAAACAAATGAGAAAAGCTTCCCTTTTGATTATAGCAGATCTGAATTATAAACCCCCTCCAGTCCTCAAGGCCTCATTTATCAAGTTCATTGCATTGCTTAAATTGTAATCTTTGGGTGACTAGTTACTGGGCTTTCCTTTACTGAAAATATATTTTTGTTTTATTCTCTTAATTTCCCTCACTGTGGCCTTTTTATATGTGTATTTGTGTGTATGTGTCTCTCCATATTTCCTTATCTACGTATATACATACATATATACATACGAAGACATATACATATATGTGTATATATATATTTGCTTATATAAGACACAGACACCTGTCTCCATAATTTACTTATGAAATACCTACTATGTGTCAGACTCTCTGCCTAGTCTTGGAGATGGAAAAATTACTAAAATATGATTTCTCTCCTCAAATAGGAAGCATAAAACTTCCTACTGCTTGAATTACTTAACACAAGTGCCTTCAATATCATTTGCCAATGGAACTGCCAGCTATTTTCACATGGGTGGCTCCTGTGTTGACCACCTGTTCCAAACGATTCAAGATAGTTTGGCTCTAAAGTTCCAATCAGCATAGTTCTATTGCTTTATTATTAAGTATACCATAGGTACATTATTACTGTTATGAACACATCATCACACAGACCATAGGTAATCAATCAACATTTGCCAACTGGTTGATTGAACCATTAAACGGCATATATTTGGAAACCTAATAATAACAAAATATTATTTTGGCAGCTACTATTAACTAATATCTTACCAAATACTGTGCTACACCCTTTACATTCAATCCCATAATAAAGGCATTATTTATACCTGTTTTAAGGATGATAACACTGAGGCTTTGCGTTTTAAGCAACCTGCCTGAAGTCACACAGCTAGAAAAGGATTCTGATGCAAAGTTTTAATCACTAATGCTCTACCTCTGTAGATGGTTCAAGCCAACAAAGCTTTGACTCAGAGCTAATTTCACTAAAGAGTGGTTCGACACATGCCATTAAATCAATCAAAACCACAAAACAATCATGAATGCCAAAAATAAATTTTAAAGAAAAGCAAGCACATAGTTGTGTTTGTGTGTATATGTATCTTTAATATTGCACACCATTTTAGAATACAGAGACTATCTTTACTCTGCATTAACACTCACTGTCAGGACTTGACTGTGTAGTTTTAACAACTATAAAAAAGCTTCATTTTAATAATCCCACTATGGATTGGTCACCTGTAGATCTGTATCTGTATCTTATCTATATCTTAGCCTATCCTCAGGATACAGCACAATGCCTGCCACATAGTAGATGTTCAGTACATAGCAATGTACTAAAAATCATTAACTCCTCAAACTCTGTTCGAAGGTGAATGTTCCATTTATATGAATGTGTGACAACACACAGATCCAGAACATCACAAAAAGAATCAGCGAAGAAACACTTATTCAAAGTAGAACAAGGTAAACTTTACATTTTTAACATATCCAATTTTTCACCATTATTTCGTAAATGCAGATTTAAAAAATATAAAACATGTTAACACAATCTTTTAGCTAAAATTTTAATTATGGAAAAGCTGGAAATTTTAGCATCATTTCCATGACAACTATACCTTGGCAACCGATACATTAAATATATGTGAACACTAGACATATCAAAACAAAGCATGACATAAGAACTAAATTAAAGCTGTTGTGACTCATGCCTATAATCCCAGCACTCTAGGAGGACGAGGCAGGTGGATTGCTTGAGCTCAAGAGTTCAAGACCAGCCTGTGCAAGAGCAAGACCCCCGTCTCTAAAAATAGCCTCGTGTTTTGGTGGGGGCCTATAGTCCCAGGTACTCCGGAGGCTGAGGCAAGAGAATCACTTGAGCCCAAGAGTTTAAGACTGCTGTGAGCTGTGACACCACAGCACTCAACTCCAGGGCAACTGAGCTATGACGCCATGGCACTCAACCCCAGGGTAACTCTGTCAACAAAAAAAAAAAAAAGAAAGAAAAGAAAAGAAAAGAAAAAGAAAGTTTCTCCCCTAAAGGTTTATGAACAGTTTTTAGTATAATAGATTTTAGTAACCCTGATCAAGTATGTATAACTTGGCCCATGAACATATTGCCTTATCCCGTAATCCACACTTCAATGGTCTTTTTACATTTGCTTTCAATCACACTGAACTGCAAATCCTTGTAGGAAGCTGATGGAAGAAGGAAGCAACTTTAAATATTCTAGTCACCTATTCTTAGTTGACTATTTGCCACAAAAGAACCTCAAAAGTAGCAACTCCTAAGAATCTCTAGTATCTCTAGTATTCTATCCAACATATGATATACAGCAGTCATTAGAAATAAATTTACACATCTACTCAAAGGAAAGCAGTGAGCCTGGTGGGAATGTACAAAGTTGCAATCCTCTTAATCTTCACTCTCTGCAACTATAAAAATGAGGATAGTCGTATCAGTTTAATAAAATTACTATGATAATTAAAAGTTACAATGCCTACCATATAAGTGAACCATTATTTATTTTTTTGAGACAGAATCTCACTCTGTTGCCCTAGATAGAACCCTGTGACATGCTAGTTCACAGTAATCTCAAACTCTTTGACTTGAGCAATCCTCTTGCCTCAGCCTCCTGAGTAGCTGTGACTACAGGTGCCTGCCACAATGACCCCTAGTTTTTCTATTTTAGTAGAGATGGGGTTTTGCTCTTACTCAGGCTGGTCTCAACCTCCTGAACTCAGGTGATCCACCCACCTCGGCCTCCCAGAGTGCTAGGATTATAGGCCTAAGCCATCATGCTTGGCCTACCATTAAATATTTTGAGGCCAGCTTCCTCATAGATTTAAAAGGATCAATAAAACCTCACTGTTATAAATTGAATATGTCTCCCCAAAATTTTTATATTGAAACCTATTCGAGTGGGGCCTTTGGGAGGTGATTAAGTCATGAAAGTGGAGTCTTCATGAATAAGATTAATATCCTTTTAAAAGAGACCCCAGGGCATTGCCTGTGGCTCAGTGAGTAGGGCACCAGCTCCATATACCAAGGGTGGTGGGTTCAAACCCAGGCTCCACCAAACTGCAACAAAAAAATAGTCGGGCATTGTGGCAGGTGCCTGTAGTCCCAGCTACTTGGGAGGCTGAGGCAAGAGAATCACCTAAGCCCAAGAGCTGGAGGTTGCTGTGAGCTGTGATGCCACAGCACTCTACCAAGAGCAACAAAGTGAGACTCTATCTCTAAAAAAATAAAATAAAAGAGACCCCAAAGAGCATCCTTCTTCTCTGCCATGTGAGGGCACAGGAAAAAAGGGTCACCTAGGAAGTAGAAAGCAGGCCCTCATGAGATACTGAATCTGCCAGCACTTTGATCTTGTACTTTGTATTCTCCAGAACTATAAGAAATAATTTTCTATCGTTTCTAAGCCATCTAATCAATAGTATTCTGTTATAGCAGTTCAAACAGACTAAGACAACCCCCAAAGAGTTGAGAGAATTAAATGAAGAATAGCCATGTATAAATGAGTTGGCATAAATGCCTGACACATAGTAGGGCTTCAATAAGTTATCAATCCATTCTTTCTTTTCTACTAGGTCTCTAAATTCCTAAATGTAGACGAAGATGACTGATTGGCTGAAAGAGTAAAAATTACAACATTCTAATACATTATCATTTTTTCTGGTAACAATACTACTTTCCTATGAAAGACTACAATTACCATTTGTTAATTCATAAAATACGTTCTAGAAGAAGTTTAAAAAATGCATTCATATTTTTACCTTTTCTTCTAGTTGGTCCTTCAAACACTGATATTTTTGCTTTAGCTTTTTGTTCTCATTTTCATTCTGGGTTAATTCCTCTGTCAATCCGTCATACTGTGATTTCAACTTCTCCAGCTGACAACGATGGGCCATAGCCATATTCTTATCTTCTAAACTTTCAGCCTGACCAAAAAGAGAAGAAAGAAAAAGAGAGAGTCCACTGGCCAAATTATACAAGACAAGTTACACATTATATTAGTAGGAAAATACTTCAAGATTTCAGGTCTTTCAAAGCATGCATACTTAAACACTAAATAAACACAAGGAAACATTCTTTGCATTTATTTGATCACTGATCCCCACCTACCCAACATTTACTAAAGAGATAGGCACTGTACTAGATGCTGAAGATAACAGCTATGAAAAGTAAAAGAGATGGATGAAACAATTACTCTGGCAACCATAAATGAGAAGTGCTTAACAAAGGTGTGAACTGGATATTTTGGGAGACCAAAGAAGGGACACCAGCTCTGCTGAGAGGGGAAGGAGTCATTAGGGAAGTGTCCCAAAAGAGAAATAACATGGTCGAGCATGGTGGCTCACGCCTGTAATCCTAGCACTCTGGGAGGCCGAGGCAGGTGGATTGCCCTGAGCTCAGAGGCTTGTGACCATCCTGAGCCAGAGTGAGACCCTGTCTCCACCAAAAAGAAGCCGGGCATTGTGGCGGGCACCTGTAGTCCCAGCTATTTGGGAGGCTGAGGCAAGAGAATTGCTTAAGCTGAAGAGTTGGAGGTTGCTATGAGCTATGATGCCACGCACTCTACTGAGGGCCACAAAGTAAGACTCTGTCTCAATAAAAAAAATAAATAAATAATAGGAAATTAAAGAAAAAAAAACCTTCAAACTAAGACAATTGAAAACCAATTGAAAGCATACTTAAAAAAAAAAAAGAAAGAATGTGAGATGATTTTATTGGCTGACCAGTTTCCTCATCTATAAAAGAAACTTGTCTGCCTGGTATTTATCACTGAATTACATAGTTTTTGTACAAGTAATTATTGATACTACCCTTATGAAGCTAAAAAGAATATGAACTTTAACAGCCAAGAAACTACAAACTTAATATGAAAGAGTTTATACAGTGATTATTTCAGCACAATAGTGTAATAAAATACCCATGTATTGATTACTTGGAATATAACCAGAATCAGCTTTAAAAAATATTAGAAATCATCTACTTTTTACATGGGATTCATAAAGATTTTCTAGCCATATGAACTTAAAGAATTTTAAAATAACAACAATGTAATTCATCAACACTGCTGTGAGATGTGTGTAGTAGTTTATTTTTGGTATGTAGTTTTTCCTCATTTCATCCTCGCAACATTTCAGTAATAAGTCTTTCCCCCTCAACAGGGCTGGTGTCCCCTTACAGTACCAATAATAGTCCTATTAAGGCACTATTGTTGTCTGATTGCCTCCTTTTTGTAACTGAAACAGAGAAAAGTTGGTAACTTGCCCAAGGGTACATTATGAGTAAATTCACAGCCAGGATTTGAACGTTGGAATTCTTTCTAGCATCTATCCTGTCAAATACTCAGCCTCGCTGACTCTCAGAAGGTATAATGTCATTAGGTTTTAAAAATCATCTGGGTCAACTAGCGATGCTAACTATCCATACCTACAGGTGACTAACAACAGGGAAGCACCTACATATCATCTGCTTAAAATAAATGTTTTAATGCCTAAAATGTATGGGATTCTTTTATTTGTGTAAGTTTGTTATATGTGTTTAATTAGGTATATGTAGGAACACAATCAACAGAAACAATTTCCTGAAAGGAAGAAATATGTGAATTGTAAGCAAAAATCTATATTTTATTTATGCCACAAAATTCACCTAAGACCTGATGCCACTTTGAATTAACAAAAGAATTGATTCTTTTATGAGCAATCCTGTATTCACAGCTAAGAAATAAATTTACAAAATAAAGTCTCTCATCAGGAAAATTGTTCAATTACAATTCTGGGTTTCAGCAGAACGCTTTTACTTTCCTTTATGTCCCATAAAAAGCACAGGTAAATAAGAAGTTTCCCCCCTTTTCTTGCTTAAAAGCCAGCTCATCGAGATGCTCAAGAGTCAATAATGCTCATCTCTTGCCAATGTTGTCCCTCGCTAGTGATGTCCCATTTGGTAAGTCTGAAATTAGCCAAGTTGGGGATGTTTGTACCACTGAAGTTAGGAAATGCTGTAACTTCAAGTTTTTTTCCTTCTAAAAGAGCTTGTTTTATGATGTTTATCAGCACACCCATGCTTATGTTTTAATAAGAACTTACTTAATGTTGTGATACACTTACATTTTATTTTAGAGTTTACTAAGTAACATGTTCACAACAACCCAGTGATATATAAGGATATCATTCCTATATTATTGATAAAGCATAAAAAAGTAAAGTAGCCTGATCAAGATCAAATGTCTACCAAGGGTCAAAAGTATAAAATTCCAATCCTGCATCTTTTGATTCCAATAAAAGACTCTATGAAATGATTTTGTTAAAATTTCAATGAGGGCATAGCCCAATATCCTAAAAATATTAATAGCACCTAGAATATAACATTAAAATATTTTAAATTTAAATTTAAAATAGGTAAGAGAGTGATTCTAGATGAAGAAAAATACATACAACTAAATTATACAGAGAAAAAAACATGGGTGATATATCAGACTCAGAAAAAGTAATAAATTAAGGTGAAGCCGAAAGACACAGAAATATAATATTTATGGAGCTACTTGTACCAAAACCCTATCGTGTGCATAATTCAGTATACTATTAAATCTCCTGTTACGACCACTGCAATCAGCTCTTTTTAATTAATATAAATAGGTAAAGTATAGAGCTATATTAATAAAATAGCATGAGGTGGACATTGTTCCCCGAGGGTAATTTATTTGCTTTAAAAACAAACTGCTAGGCTCTCCCAGTCTCTGGTTCTCCAGGTCTTAGGTCTTGTCTGACTGCTCTACACATTAGGGAACAGCGGCAACACTCCTCCAGATCTCAGTCTTTCAAATTAAAAAGAAAAAAATATATATGAAAGGTTTCAGAAAAACTACGCATTACTTGCAAATTACAAATTCTTTACGCATAGGCAATATGTTGCCATCTCATTGTAAATGAGTTCAAAGCGCTTCCTACCAAAAGGATGAGGAAATCAATTTTCCCATATGACAGAGAGAAATTCAAACCAGCTAGATCACAGAACAAGTCGGGAGCAAATTTTCTGATTTCCAGAATTCTAAGCATCCCAACCCGACATCTACGGAGTGTTTTCTATATGTTCAGAACATTATGTAAGATACCTAAGACACGATGCCCAACCCTCTGGAGATTGATGGACACACAACAAACCAAAATGCAAGGCAGCATTAATGCGCTGACCTAGAGGCATCAACAATGAGCCAACTCAGTCAAGATTCATTCCAATTTCAGCGGATTCATAAAGGAGCTGAAAGAAAGAAAGGCCAATCTAGATAAAAAATGAGCAGCAAAGACAATGTATGGAAATGTACAGTGGTCTGAGGACTGCCGGAGCCTGAAAGGCAATAACCACACCTCAGGCAGGCAGGGCTGGTTCAGGGAGGGCTGGGCTAGAGTGGACCCTTTGGTCCAAGGACAACGAATGTTCAGTGAAGGTTTTTAAGTAGAAAGTAAACATACACATATATATTTTGGGAAAGGAAATCAGGTGGTATCTGAAGGCTGAAAGGGAGGAGTTGAGGACAGAAAAAGGAACTAGGGGGAAGCAGAGAAGCTACTTAGCAGTGTGGCTAGGGAGCCCTAATTAGTCTTCACCTCTCACACATCTCTGACTGCACCACTGCCCTACTCTACCTCAGGGGGAGGAGAGCAGTCAGTCAAGGTTCACAAGCTTCCTCAAACCAGCCTACACACTCTATTTTTGATCCAGCCCTCATATTTTCTCATGCATCTTCACCATGCTGAATGGAATGAGTGCTTTTTTTACTTCTTCTTTTAACTTGTCTGTCACATTTAACACTTAATTTTTGTCTTTCTTAAAATGTCCTACCTGGGTCTCCAAAACATTAAACCTTCTTTCTAAATTATTTACTTAAACCTTTATGTTCTAGCATTTCAACCTCTTCATTCTCCCTGTACAGTACCAACCAAATCCCATGATTTCAGCTACCACCTGTAGCTAACTCCCAAATAGTTTACTCTAGACTCAATTTCTCCCTCAACGCCTGACCCACGAGATGCTAAACTGCACGACCTAGGCTTTCATAGTTAATCTAAAGGTCTCCCCCACCTAGCTCAAAATGCTCCAAAACTCAATTTGCCCATTACCCTCTGAATCTGATCAGCAAACAGCATCATCATCCACCGAGTCACCCAAGTCATTTTGTACTCATACTTGATTCTAAACCTTTTCCAGGACAGGAAGATAGTTACGAATACAGGCACTGGTCCTAAGTTCAAATCCTCTCCCAAAGACCTTGGGCAAGTTACTTAACCTCCAGTGTTTCAATTCCTGCATCAAGGAAAAAATACTTCCACACAATCAGCAGGGATACTACGACAATTAAACGATTAACACATGTAACGTTCCTAGAGGAGCGACTGGCACAAAATGTTGAAAAAAAATGTTTGCTTGTAAGATTATCACTGTCACAGTCAATCAATCCACATGAAATCTATATTTATATTTTCTTTAAGATCAGCTCTTCTCCGTCTCCCTAATTCTACTTTTATGTCCTCATCAACTCTAAAAGAATATTACTCCAAATTTCATCAGTATTAAGATGTATATTTTTCACATTTTGTGATCCCTGACTTAAGATGTTATCTTTTACTTGATAGCATGTTATAGTTTTATAGGCAGGAGGCAGTATTTTTATTCCTTAGTAATATACAACAATCTTATAACTGATGTTATTATCTTAGTTTAATGAATATAATAAGAGTCTCTCACCTAATCTTTCAGCCTCTGTTCTGAAATGCTTACCTCAATTAATAACCCCAAATCCATTAATGCCAGACGCCTATATAGGACTGGGGAAGAACTCAAAAAATACATATACGTATAAGCATTTTACAAATCTGAGCTATTTCAATGTGATTTCACCTCACATCATAAGTATTTATTTATCCATCCATTCACCTATTAAACAGACTCTAAAATATTCTAGAAACTGTTCTAGGTACTGGGGATATGGCTGTAAACAAAACAGACTCAATCCCAATCCTCATGGGGTGTTCATTCTAATAAAGGGAGATAAATAAATCAGTAAGTGATGTGGAATCTACGTCTATGATGGTAAGTGCTATGGAGAAAAAAATAGAGCAGGGAAGAGAGATAGATTTATCACACTCCTGACAATCATGCAGTAAAATGATTGCCCTGCATGGTGATAATGCTAATGCCATTAGATCTTAGAAACATTTCCCCACATGCAAGATTTCAATTAGGCATTTACCCAGGCAATTTTGACTTGGAAAAGAAAGGGTAAATCTCAAAAGCCTTGGGTTTACACAGCCCATAAGCTTATCCACTTTAGTTACCATACTAATAAGGACTGTGGTTATAGCTTCTATGGCCTTGACAAGTCTTTGCTTTTATATTTTAGGAGGTCATAAATGTTGAATGAGGGCACGTTTCAGGTCCACAACTTACTGCCACCTCTGCCTTTCCCGAACTCCCCAAATAGCTAAACGTTCTTTTTAAAGGGCTTCAATGCTCTGAAATAGGTGCTCCCAGGTGGCTGCTATAACTCATTTCAACCTGGCCGAACAGGCATGAATAGCTTCTTTATTGTTGGTTTTATCTTTCCTTCAGTGCTTGGGAATACAGAATGATCTCTAAAAGTTTACGCTTTATTAACTTCATGAGCCACTAGAAAAATTCCTTGAGTATCATCAGGATAATTCAGCACAGGTACCTTCAGTGTCCTAATATGATCCTCAGCCTCACTCTTTTCTTTCTTAAAGTGCTTCATTAGCTCCTGGATATTTTGCTCATGTTTTGTTTTCACACACTGCAACGATGCCGTGAGATCTTTCAGCTCCCTCTGGTGAACATCGCGTTCTAACTTTAACTGTGTGATGACTGTAGCTGTTTCTTCATCGGTGGATGTCATCTGTGCGGTGAGGTCAGACATTTCCTTAAGCACTGCTTTCTTGGCTTTCTCCTCCTCAGCCAATTTATTAGCAAGATCTGCTCGGATGGCACTCAAGTCCTTGATGGACTCTTGCATCTCAAGAAGTTTAGCTTGGTCCATGGCCTGGCTTTTCTTGAGCTCTGCAATTTCTTCCTCTAGGTGAACTTTCTCGGTTTTCATCTGGCATTGAATCATACTCTGTTTTTTCAATTCATTTTCTAGTCGCTGAATGGTATCCAGGGCATTCTTGACTTCTAGTTCAAGGTCAGCTTGTTGAGATGTAATATTACTTAGTTTCTCCTCCTTTAAGTGAAGCTCCTCCTCTTGAAGGGCACGCTTGGTTAGAACATCATTCAATTCCTTTCGAAGACACTCCATTTGCTGTAATGTTGCAAACAGCTGACTTTTCAATTCATCCTTTTCTTTTAAAACCTATCAGGTTAAGAACATAAAACAAAAACATTGCTGTAAAAATCCACCATGGACTCTGACAGTTAACAAAACATTGATTAATCCGCAAGGAAAGGAACAATTCATCAAGAAATACTTTGTATTTTCTATTCTTTAACAAAAAGTAATTGTTAGGCTAGAAAAGGGAGGGAAACATGGAATTACTCTGAGATACCACCACACTAAAACGTATGTTTTAGATTTCCATCACTAACATTTTTATCAATCCATGATCACAAATAATTATCCAAATGTGAGATAAAATTGAGTAAAAAGGAATGGGGAAAGAAAAGACTCCTATTATGAACATTAACTTGCCAGAGATTGAAATTATACAGTATGACCTGAAATAAAAATAATGTTCATTCCACTAACACATTTTTAAAAAGGAGACACCCCAAAGCAGACATGAAAGCATGCAAATACATTCTAAGAAAGGTAATGGGTCAATCGGTAATTATTTTAAAAATATCAATAGTGACAAAATATACATCAATATGCAACCAGAGCCCACAAACAGGCTACGATTAGGACAGGTTCATAGGGATTAAAGGGAAGGGCCAAGGGACTAGAAGTCCATCACACTCTGCCAGCTTCTCTAGGAGATTAGGGTCACACTGAGGGACAGAGGCCACAGATTAGCCCTCATGGCCTCTAATTCTCACCAACTAATCAGTGTGAATAAAATAGGGAGGGAAGCCAAGGGAATGGAGATAATTTTCTGCACAACCCTGACACCAGGACAATCACCATTCCTGCTTACTGATGTCCACCATGAAACAGAAAAAAAAAAAAAAAGGCAACACAGATACATCTCAGAATCAGAAATAGTGAGTTACAATGCAACTATCTGCCAGGCATTTCCACACTTCATTTTACACTTCACTATGAAACAATTTATGATAAAATGCAGTAAGTCGATCACTCAAAAAAAAAAAAAAAGTGATTTCCACTAATCTCTCTCAGTTTGAACAGGCAGAGAGGAGTAAGAAGTTCACACAAGAAATAATAAAAGGAGGGGACTAAGCAGTTAAGCTTTAACCAGAGAGTATTGAATTTGATTCTTTGATTCATAGTCTAGCCAGGAATAGTTTTATGCCTTTGAGGAAATTATTTATCTTCATGAGGTAATAATAATAGTTACTTCACAAGATTGGGATGAAGATTAGTGGGAAAAGAAGGAACAAAAAGGGGAGGATGGATTTAAGTAAAAGGAGGTATAAATATTTATGCAAGGTAGTAATCAAAACAATGAAAAGAAAGAATAACTGACAGACCAATGTCCTGAAGTGGAGGGACTCTGGAATAAGGATGAAGGAATTCACTTCTGAAAAAATGTAAGGCAGGAAAAATAGCAAGAAATACAGACAAATCTAGGTAGACAAATACATCTGAGTAGATATTATTTTGCTATTGCTGAATAAAAATTTCCAACAAACTTAGTGGATTAAAACAATACACATTTAATATCTCAGTGTTTAAAATAGATCAAAAGGCTGGGTAGATTATTCTACTAAAGGTCTCCTAAGGCTAAAATCAAGGTTATCAGCTGGCCTGGGCTCTTATTTGAGAGTTTAGGGGAGAATCCAGGTCCAAGCTCAAGCTCTTTCAGCTTTCTGGCAAAATGTAGTTCTATACAGTTGTAAGACTTTGGGTCCTTATTTCCTTACCAGCTTTTGACCAAGGGTTATTCAAAACTCATAGAAGCTACCTGCATTTCTGGGCTCATTATACTCTTCTATCATCAAAGCTAGAAAACAGCTCAATGAATCTTTCTCCTTCTCATGCTTCAAATCTCTCTTACTCCCCCTTCTCCTAACAGCCAGAAAAAATTCTCTATTATATGGGCTCATGTCATTAGATTAAATTAGGCCCATCCAGATAATCTACTTATCTTAGTGATATCATACTTACAGGTTCCAGGAATTAGGGTGAGACATCTTTGGGGAGGTCATTCTATTTCTAATACTAGAGAATATGAGACATGCTTGGGTCTTAAGGATAATGTGAAAGGGACCTAAGAGTGAGGGTAGTTGGCTTAAATACAGTAATTAATGTTTAAAACAGATAACACAGCCCCCTGAGCATGAGTTAAGAGACTTCTAGACAGTCTTAAAGATTAAAATTATATTTTCGTGATAAAGTTCTATCAGGTAAAATATCTTTGATTACAAAATATTATGTCTTCCTGAAACTAGTTAAAATAGCAAGGCTATTTATTATTTTCCCATTATAGGAAGCCTACAGAGATATATAATCCCAGGTTTTACCCTCTTCCTAGTGTTCCAAGCATCACATCAATTCATGATAGAGGTGATAACATTAGGGCAGATAGTCACATACTATGTTGGTCAAGTTTGGAATTTCGTTGGCAACTTAAATATTAAAGTTCCATCTATTCACTACTGGTTAATTGCTTGATTGGCAGCCACAGCATAAGATTCTGTCTAGACCAGTGGTTCTCAACTTTCCTAATGCTGTGATGTATTTTCATTGTTACAAAGGGGTCATGACCCACAGGTTGAGAACTGCTGGTCTAGACATTTTCTCTGAGTCTAAAAATGTCAGTGTCTCTATCCTCATCTCGATATCCTGGATGTTCCCAGGGGCACTCAGTTGAACAGTCTTTATCTTGAGGTAATTCAAAACAATGCAGCTGGGTCCCTTTATTCTATTCATTAAGGCTTAAATACTTGATAGGGACCTGAGGAAAAGGCTTGTTTTCTAATCCCATTTTTATTCCTGCTAAGTTTCCTACTTCTGTCTGTGCTTAGACTAACTCCTGCTAGAATAATTTGGCTTTTCCAACCCTAATGCTAAAAGGCTCTGAATTATCAGACTCATAATCAATTTGGATTATAGACTGGAGGCTCCAGGATCTCAGCCAAAAAAAAAAAAAAAAAAGGAAGGAAAGGAAGGAAAAGAAGGCGAAGGAAGGGGAGGGGAGGAAAAGAGAAGGAGAGAGAAAGAGAAGAAAAAAAACACTCTGCTTTTGGACTGCTCAGTGTAACTTAAACTTTTCTCTTGTAGGACCTTTCTGAAGTATACACAACATACTCCCAACACCCTAACATTTTCCTGTCAGTCACTAACATCATCTTCTGATTGATAGCATCGATGGCTCAAAGTATGATTTCTCACAGTCTCCACTGCTATTTAACATAGTGTTGGAAGTCCTAGCCATCCCAATCGGGCAAGAGAAGGCGATCAAAAGAATCCAAATGAGGGCAGAGGAGGTCAAATTCTCCCTCTTCGCAGATGACATGATCTTATACCTGGAAAACCCCAGGAACTAAACTGCAAAGCTCTTAAAAGTGATCAAGGAATATAGCACCATCTCAGGTTACAAAATCAATACCCATCAATCAGTAGCCTTTGCATATGTCAACAACTGTCAAGCTGAGAACAAAATCAAAGACTCTATTCCTTTTACAATAGCACCTATGAAGATGAAATACCTGGGAATATATCTAACAAAAGGAGCAAAAGATCTCTATAAAGAGAATTATGAAACTTTGAGAAAGGAAGTAGCAGAAGATCTCAACAGATAGAAGAATACACCATGCTCATAGCTGGGAAGAACGAGCATCATTAAAATGTCCATACTACCCAAAGCAATCTATAAGATTTAATGCAATCCCTATCAAAGCACCAATGTCATACATTAAAGATCTTGAAAAAATAGTACTTCAATTCATATGGAACAGGAAAAAACCTCAAATAGCAAAGTTCTTAGAAATAAAAATAATTCTGGAGGCATCACGTTGCCAGACTTCAGTTTATATTACAAAGCAACAGTGATCAAAACAGCATGGTACTGGCACAAAAATAGAGACACAGATGTATGGAACAGAGTAGTGAATCTAGAGGTGAACCCAGCCACATATCATCACTTAATCTTTGATAAGCCCAACAAAAACATGCAATGGGGAAAAGAATCCTCATTTAACAAATGGTGCGGGAAGAACTTGTTATCCACATGCAGAAGACTGAAACTGGACCCACACCTCTCACCAAAGACAAAAATTGATTCTTGTTGGATAAAAGACTTAAATTTAAGACATGAGACAATAAAAATTCTAGAAGAGAGTGTAGGGGAAACACTTGAAAATATTGGCCTGGGAAAAAACTTTATGAGGAAGACCCCCCCTCCCCAGCAAGTACAGCAACACTCAAAATAAATAACTAGGACCTGATCAAGTTAAAAAGCTTTTGCACAGCTAAGAGTACCACAAACAAAGCAAATAGGCAGCCTTCAGAATGGTATAAGATTTTTGCATGTTATGAATCTGACAAAGGCCTGATAACTAGAATCTACAGAGAACTCATACTAAACAATAAGAAAAGTGCAAACAACCCTCTGTATAAGTGGGAAAGTGATTTGAACAGAAACTCCTCTGAGGATGACAGACAAATGGCCAACAAACACATGAAAAGATGCTCATCAGAGAAATGCAAATCAAAACCACTCTAAGATGTCACCTAACCCCAGCAAGATGAGCCCACATCACAAAGTCACAAAACACCCAGATGTTGGCATAAATGTAGAGAAAAGAGAATATTTCTACACGGCTGGTAGGATTGCAAATTAATACAATCCTTTTGGAGAGAAGTATGGAAAACCCTCAAAGATCTAAATGTAGACCTTCCATTTGACCCTGCAATCCCATAACTAGGTATCTACCCAAAAGAACATAAATCATTTTACCACAAAGACATTTACACTAAAATGTTTATCATCGCTCAATTCATAATTGCCAAGTTGTAGAAGCAACCTAAGTGCCCATCAACCCATGAATGGATAAAAAAAACTATGGTATATGTATACCACAGAATATTATGCAGTCATTAAAAAGATGGAGACTTTACATCTTTTACATTTACCTGGATGGAGTTGAAATACATTGTTCTTAGTAAAGTACTGCACAAATGGAAAGATGAATATCCAATGTACTCCATACTAATATGAAATCAATATATGT